GTCAAAAAAATCGTTGAGCCGTTTTGGCGGAAGTGACGAACTGCAAGCTTTGAATGCTTGTATCTTCTAAATGCAAATTTTGTCACTGTTTTGGACACTGCCTTATAGATAACCTTAAGACTAACATATTGATACTAACACCCAAAAAACTTTAATTTTGATTTCATGGGGACTTTTTTTTTTATTTTAATTTATTTAAAGTGTATACCTTTTATTAAAATAGTATTGTTATTAAATATTAAAATGTCTAACTTTTGTATAAATTCTACTTCTAATTCTTGTGTAATTTGTGCATGCAGGTTTTTATTCCCTATCAGTGCTGTGTGCAATCAGTGCAATGAATGATGGGATATGTAGTCCGGGGTGATATGCAACAGTGTGTAGTGCGAGAGTCAATGAAAATGGAAAGGGTGACCTCTGATGGCTAGCAGACGGAAGTTCATGGACCGGATACGTAACACCCTAATTGATACACTACATGGAATATTTCTACTTTCAAAAATATTAGTAAATGTATAAAATAGATTTGAAATGTTTTCTAACTCTTATCCTACTTTCACTTTTTATGACAATAAGAGACAACATGCAGTATTTGTACATTTTAAAATTAATTTCTCACACTGCAAAACTATTTATGCACTTCCAAGAATGTCTAAAAGCTCGTTTAAAAATTGTGAGAAAAAAAATAGATGTTGGTAATGGTATGTTCTAGTGTGCATATGTATTCACTGTATGTGTTTGAAAGTGTGTATTTCATCTGTGTAGGATCCTTAAATCCGTGACGGTTGCCTGCTGTACGGTGCTTACTCTCTGCTCTCTAACAATCTGCTCAGCGAGGTGTGACCAGATATTGTGCATCTGAATCCTACACTAGACTACTGATGCAGCGGGAGAGGGGAGGAGAGAGGAAGAGGGAGCGAGAGATGGAAGGGAGAGAGAGTGTGCGACCAAAAACGATTTCTCTCCCACACGCACAGAGAGACAGATCTCCCTCTCCTGCAGTGGAGTGCTGGTGGCTCTTCTGGATTCTCTGTTTGCTCTCTTCCACTGGGAGAAAGGTAAGTTTCTCCTTCTGTCCTTCATCTCTCCAGAAATGTTTCATTGTAGAAGCTACAGCCTCACTGCAGATGCTTGAATCTCCTGATTTAGGTATACTATATATTAGTCAATACAATTTCAGTCAGGTGACTCAGGTCCATAAGCATTTGTATTTGATTGATACCCACGGCTCGTGCTCTTGCTTGTGCTAAACGGATGGTTGTGTACCTTCTCAGACCTCTTCACACATTCACATATGTGCGGTGTGGGAAAAGCTCTGCGTTTCAGACGCATTCTGCTCCTCTGGTAACCATGGCGAAGGCAGTCGGCGTAGCAACCTGTGCATTTTGAGATAATCAGGTGATCCGGATGCTTTAAGAGAAAAGCCCACAAAAACATTAATGTGACGGGTCATTTATCATGTTTTCACAGGCAAGTGTAATTGACTTCTTCTGAGCAACGGCACTGTGCGCGTGCCAAGACAGAAAATGGTGAAAAACATTTGCAACATTTGGAAATTACAGTGAAATTGGCAAAGAATCACAAATGTCAACAGGTTGTTTGGACCACATTGATTAGCATCTTTAAAAACATCTTAAAGAATTTGACTGATAGACACGTCAGATATCACATTTCGGAGTATGTCGAGTGTGTATACTGATACTGCTAGCAGGGGATTCAATGAAACAACCAGCATTGATGGTTGATGGCTGGGAGCAAACAACTATAATCAGGACATATAATTCATCAATTTCCATGCACATACAGGCTAAACATAAATGGATTGATTCATTCAGGTCTGCAACATGATAACATTCTGTTAATGAACACTGTGGAGTATTTTTTTATGTGAATCAATAATAATATAGATAAATGTATCTAATAAACCTAGCATACAGCTACTGATGGTTGTTGGTGTGATTTTATTGACATTGCGATGTTTTTCAACCACAATACACAAAAGGTGCAAGAACATCTTAAAAATGACTCTAAAACATCTTAATTAGACTTAAATGTCTTAAATCCTGATTTAAGATATTTTACTACTAAAATCCTTTGTAGTCTAGGATTAAGCTTGATTTCTTTTTCTGTGTTTTTTGGTGAACCACACTAAATGTTCTTTGTTTAGGACTAAGCTGCGTTTGGACCATGATACGCCAGACCATGGCTGCTTTGGTTCATGGTTGGGTTCATTTGAGGTTAAGGTTAGGCTAATGGCTTTCGCTGTCTCTAAAAACCTTTAGACTGTGTTTAAAGGAAAACTCCTGTGCTTTTTATGGCTGCAGGTCATAAATATCCCCTCCCCCATCCTGACTATAGGATAAGAACCAGAAAGGCTCGGTGAATAAATCATTTGATTTCATAAAGGCGTGAACCAATGATTCCCACAGCCATCATGCACGTCTAGAGGCCAGTTAAAATAATTGATATCATGATGGGTCGATCCGTCACCACTTAAGAGGGTCCTCAGCGCTAGACCTACTTTAAACACACATATATTTGAGAGAAGGACATTTTGGCCCTAACTCTGATCTTACAACCTTCTCTCAGTTCCCTGATGGGTTCATTCAGGTCCTCTCTCATCTGATTAAGTGGAATCACTATTTTGCCTCTCATTGGTTAAGTAATGCGTTGGATCAAAAATTCAGTTTACAAAAGATGGTGATGGCTGTGGTTCTCAACTGGTGGGTCCAGACAGGGTTGTGGACAGCTAGAAAAAAACAATGCTGAAAAACACATTATAAAATACAATTGTATTTAGGTATGAAAGCAAAATGACTAGTCCTACAAACATTTAAAAGGGAGAGGAAAATCTTTCCATATCAAAAGGTTTGCAGCTTCGGTGAGCATAAAAGTCTTCTTTTAAAAAAACATCTTTCTGACCCCAGACTGAATGGCAGTGTACTCTAAATACACCACTTTTTAATCTCTTTATATAACTTTATATAATGTGTTTGTGTCTGTAAATTTGCTGTTAGCTTATGTTTTTCGCAGCAGCTATTGAATGGATCGGTCAGATGCATATTAACTTTTACAGGAACCAATAATCCGTAAATGATCACAAATGTCATGGCTGATTCTTCTCACAAAATCAAATCTGTTGCACATCCAACTGTAATCTGTATTTTGACAAATAAAATTAATCTGTCACTTGGTGAAAGAAATTAAGCAGATGCCAACCTGAACAGGCTGCTGAAAGTATAAAACCATATTTCAAAATAGATTTTGTATCGTTGGGCCTCTACTGGATAACAATCCAAAATCTGGATCTTGAAACAAAACCATTTGAGAACCACTGAATTAGAGTAAAAATGACAATTGTGACCGTTTGGATGATAATTGCAATTGTTATTAGGATGATTATGAGTGTAAGAATTAAGTTTTAATGGGGGGATTGTTACAGACGCTCTATGGTGAAGGATCACTTCCGAAATATAAAAAACTCAACAAGGGAGGGATTCTAGGCGAGGAATAAATGTGTGATGCTAAATCAGGAGTAGCTCTCGAGCACTCGTTTTTTCCCTTTTTCTGCTTGAGTGATTACATCCTGCTCTGGCAGGCCCTTTCTTTGCCACGCACGGTAGAACAAAATGACAATGAAAGAGGGAAGGGAGGGAGAGAGAAATTGATAGAGACAGGGAAAGAAGAAAAGAGGGGGGTCTAATAGCAAAGCTCAGTGCTATACAGTCATTTATGTTTCCTCTTTGGCACCGACTCTGACACATGCACACAGCAGTGTTTGTGATGCTGTTTAACAAGCTCCTGTGGGGTCTGACTTACTGAGGCATTTAGCACAGACAAAACTATTCTTAAAACATTTCAGAAGGTGTGAAAGAAAAACCCAAGGGCTGGGAAAGCAAAGTATCTAGCATCTGATAAATTTTCGGAGAAATCTGGCCTGTAGTAATGCGGTCTTTAATAGCGAGGTTGTAGAAGACGGGACTCTATTCGCTCAAAGCAGGTGGTGTGTGGTAATGAGTAAACAGTCTGAGTAGTGATGACGGTAATGACTATGACTCAGCCAGGTTTCAACTGCGCCCCCTGTGAAAAGATTACGCTTGTTAAAAAAAGCTTCCGAAATGGTGAGAGACATCAGAAATGGTGAGAGTATTATGGTGGTATGCAGTTCTGAATTCTGACACTACCATTCTGCTATGCATAGTAAGCAAATGTTCTGTATGCACAGAATAGCTGGATATCAAAATGTGCTGTGTACAAGCACAATATATTTTACAGGGTACTGCATCCTATAATTCAGTATGTTGGCCTTGACCTTCCTTTTTCAATGTGACATGGAAACAATATTTTATATGTTTTATTTGATTGGACCATTCTTTTTTTAGAGAAATTAATATTTTTTTGAGCAATGATGCATTTAATTGATCAAAAGTGACAGTAAAGACATGCTTTTTTTTTTTTTTTTTTGACTGTTCTATTCATCAAAAAATCCTGGAAAAAACTATCACAGTTTCATTGGTAATAAGAAATGTTTCTTGAGCACCATATCAGCATATTAGAGTGATTTCTGAAGGATCATGCAAAAACTCAAGACTGGAAATTCATCACAATAATAAATTACATTTTAAAATGCAGTCAAATAGACAAGCTAGTTAAATTGTAATAATTTTGTAATAATGTTTTAGTTTAATAATCAGTGCGGCTGAATAATTGATTAATAGCCTTAGAGTCCCTAAAACATGCTAACTGTTGTCAATAATTAGTGAAAAGAATGAGTTTCATTTGATAGTAAGAAGAGGAACCGCCCCATGATGGCTGATGGCTGTTTATATAGTTAGTCTGTGAGCTTTGTTCCTGGCAAGGAAACATAGGTTATATTTAGAATATCATACTACTCGTGCTACTACAGGATGTATACAGTGAGACAAATGTGACCCCAAAAATCAAGACAAATTTGATTTTGTGTGAAAAAAAGATTACTATATAGTGCATATAAATCTCATTCTCATGACCATAATGCAGAAAAATTATTTTCTTGAGCACCATATCAGCATATTAGAGTGATTTCTGAAGGATCATGCAAAAACTCAAGACTGGAGTAATAGCTGCTGAAAATTCATCACAAGAATAAATTACATTTTAAAATGCAGTCAAATAGACAAGCTAGTTAAATTGTAATAATTTTGTAATAATGTTTTACTATATTTTTTATCAAATAAATGCAGCTTTGAAGAGACTTTAAAACATGAAAACATCTTTAGATTGTGGCAGGTGTTTTGGATTTTCTTACAAAGACAAATCTGAGATCCATCAGTCTTTTTTAAACCCATTTGCCCAGAGCCAGTTAGGTGGTTTAATCTAGTAAGCAAACCTCATTAAGCTGTGAGGTCTTTAAAAAGACTCTTGAGGGAGGCCATTTCTGCGATACAGATGGCATTGAGAGACGGAAGAGACACAATGGGGTTACAGAAAGAAATTAAATGAAAGAATTTCAAAATACTTATCCCACTATTTACTGACCAAAAACAACTGATGTTATTCCCAGTGGGAGAGTAGAGAGTTTATTGCAGTTTCGAGAACAAATCAATTGCGTGAGGGGGAGAGAAAGTGAGCGAGAGAGAGAGAGAGAGAGAGCGAGAAAGAGGGACATGGGGGTGGCGAAGAAAGAAAAAAGAGTCCAAGTCTCACTTCGAGAGAAATTCCATCAAATTCAACTCCTCTCACTGAGGCTACAGGCCATCAGCTTTATACTCCAAAATTAGCCCACAGCTCCACAAAGAAACAGGGCCTCTATACGTCCTACTACACCACCCCCATATATACATACACGGCCACAAAGAGACCTCTAGTCTCCCATTAGTATTCTTCAAGAGCCCTGCTTCTATAATTGCTCTGTCAATGGAGAGTTGAGGCCACCTCTGTGGCAGCAGAAAGATGTGAGTTTGGTATAAACTCAAAGGTTTAAACTTAAACAGGTTCTCATACAGGTTTAATGGGAAAAGGTCTATAATATAACTTAGTTGAAGTGAACTGACAGGATATAAATGTTTATTGCATCTCTAGGTTATTTGCAGCAGAAGCTTGGTGTATCTGGTGGGCGTTCCTCGGAAATTCAGACACCATGTGAGCAGTGGTCTATGACGACATTAGAGGGGCAGAATGCTTCTTCTGCGTGGGACTCTTGTGGTCTTCTCTCTCTTCAGCTCTGTCAGTGGGTTTTTCAGCGAGTATGGGCCAAAACCGACAACCCAGACCAAGGCAGGCTCCAAAGGATGGGGCATGCCCAACTTTGAAACATTGAAATCTAACTTCCCATTGTTTGGTTTGGGATCACGGCTTTTATTCGGTGACACTAAAGAGTCTGCTACGACAAAGGTGAGCACAACTTTCCCAGAAGCAACCACACAAGACTATACTCTGTCTTCGAAGGACTTGAGCCCAAAATACCAGCCGACCACAACCTCGTTTGAGGAACTTCAAAGCAGCACTGTCCAGATAGGCACCCTGCTGCCTTTAAAATCAGCTAAACTGCCAATAATTGACTTACTCAGGAACAAACCACAAATAGATGGACCAGAACCTCCTAAACTTGATCAAAGCTATGATCTGGATCTCTGGCCCCGCAATAATGGCCAAATCACAGCGAAAAACCCCCAAACGACGATGTCTAAACCAGAAACACAAACATACACTGTATCCATGGCTCAGGGTACCAGCACCACACACACTACAACATTGAGACTGATGACGGAAACCATGAACCCTTACAGTGACCAAACTGTGCCCACAGACACTCAGGCAACAACGTCACAACTAATGATACCTTCATTTCAAACCACACATTTTATCACACCAGCAGAACCAGAAGTATCTACCGAACCTTTGACCACTGTCAGCACTGGACAAAACACATTGAGGACAACAAACATGGCCTCGAAACCAGAATGGACACCTTTTAAAACCACTGACAAGGCTCTGGATGGATTTACGTGGGTAGAGCAGACCACAGGCCCATCAGACGGGGGAAGAGTGCAAAGTGTTGGCCCAGATCCTACTCCCTCCCTGCCAGCAGGAGGTACGTCAACCCCTCCCTGTCTTTTCATTTCCAACCCAAGCATATGATCTAAGATAACCAAAAACTGACACAATTTGTCCCATCCTTAGCTGGCATGGGTGTATTACATTTGTTCTTTTGGTTATACCTTTATTTAAGGTGAAAATGGGTGTTTAATGAATTGCAGAGCATTATTGATTACCAGTCAAGGGTTAGCAGTGGAATCAGTGCGGCTGAATAATTGATTAATAGCTTTAGAGTCCCTAAAACATGCTAACTGTTGTCAATAATTAGTGAAAAGAATGAGTTTCATTTGATAGTAAGAAGAGGAACCGCCCCATGATGGCTGATGGCTGTTTATATAGTTAGTCTGTGAGCTTTGTTCCTGGCAAGGAAACATAGGTTATATTTAGAATATCATACTACTCGTACTACTACAGGATGTATACAGTGAGACAAATGTGACCCCAAAAATCAAAACAAATTTGATTTTGTGTGAAAAAAGATTACTATATAGTGCAAATAAATCTCATTCTCATTACCATAATGCAGAAAAAAGATTTCATTTACCAAGTAAATTTGTAAAGTATAGTTCCTACTAAACATAATAGAAGATTGTTTTACTGAATGTAATTTATGCAGATTTTAATAAAAAAGACAATCATTGTTACAGTAATGAAAATTAGATTTTTATTGTGCATTACAGTAATGACAATTGAAGGAAAAAATGTCTAACTGTCATAAAAAAAATAATAATGATTATTTAAAAAAAACCTAAATCTACATTGTACAAAAATGTTATATACAATATGTACAGTATGCACATGATAGGTATGGAGTACCTACAGTACGTTACCTGCTACATTTACTGTATACTGCGTCCAATAATTCTCCACTTGACCAACTACAAGTACTGTAATATTAGCCGTAATCTTATTCTTGTTTTATGTGCATAAACTGCTTAATATGTTTACAGAAAATTGCTTTTACAATCCAAATGTAGTTATTTACATATTTATGTCTGACCAAACCTAATGTTATGAAGTCAGAAATTACAACAATGTACTGTCGTATACTACTGTTTGAAATGTTTGTTGCATATTTTGTAATGTTGTTGCAAAAAAAAGAGGCATACCATTTAAAAAAAAATTAGCAGTAAGCATTATTTCCATTACAAACACTGGCATCATTTAAGGTCAGATTTGGTCCGTATAACCCACTGGAGATTCACCTTTTTGCAAAGGCTTGCAACATTTTAATCCAAGGTCAGCACTGACTATACTTTAGTCGTTAAAAAGAAGATCTAGACCTAAGCTCATGATGCGATCCAGACGAATCAATACAGACCTCCTTGAGGTGATCATACACTAAAACTCTCCAGATATCTGTGAAAATAGTGTGCCAGACACCTAGATAGGGTGTATATGAGGTGGCCAAGCATGCTAACCATTATTGACATGGCTCTGTTTGATATCTAGAGCTAAGGGAGCGGTAAGACAGGCGTGCATGTGTACAGTAAGCACGGGATTTGCACTGGAGAAGCAGCCAGTTGGGCGGTATGTGATCAGTATTCCAATGACAGAGTCAGCAGAGCCAGTGAATCCTCAGGGACTATGTTTTTCTGCACCGCCTGTTCATGGATGCTGAGCATGCCTCTCAACATTTAGTCTCCTTTTCTCAATTCGCTCTATCCATCCTCTCTCGCAGTAATAGGCCTCTCCTGACGTTTACTGGGCATCTCTCTTTTTTTCCAGCAATAAGTCTCATTTAGCCCTTCAGTCTTATGTTTTCTTTCAACCTCTCCTGGCTCCCAGAGACATGTTTTTCCATGTCCTTCTCTTTTCCTTTCCTTTTGAACTCATAGAATCTTTTTTAAGATGATGGAGAAAGGAAATGCATAGAAACAGAGATTTTCAGAAAGAGATATGGGGAGTCAGAATATTATATTTTGTGTTCCACAGAAAAAAGAAACTCATACAGGTCTGGAACGACATGAGGGTGAGTAAATGATGACAGAATTTTAATTTCTGGGTGAACTTTCCCTTTAAGAACTATATATAT